TTTTTTTTTTTTTTTTTTTTTTAACTTCCTTAGCGTGAAATGTTTTCGTCGCTTTGCTCTGCGGATTTCGTGTCCGGCGCGGAGTCTGTGCTTTTATTCTTTCAGTCGCTGTGATTGGTTTGTCGCGTCCTCTCATGAATTTGATGAGAATAAGCAACTTGATCACGAAAGTACAATAAATTTTGCTGTCATCCACAGACTTTTTCCACAATTATTTCGTAAAAGCAATAGACCACTCTTTCTATAGGTTTACCGGCGCAATAGACCACTTGGGATGTTGGGAGAACACTCGAAAAGTTTGTAAATCACTCACCTAACGGCTCCTGATTTAGAAGCTTTTCTTGTGTTCTCCAAACATCCCGCGTGGTTTATTGCGCCAGTAAACCCATAGAAAGAGTGGTATATTGCTTAATTAGTCAACCTCCAAGACGTTTCATTTGTTTGATCATATCATTTGCGTCGCTTAAGCTCCACTATATGTTCTCTAGAATGACAACTCACGCCAGCATTAGATGCTAATTCAGGGACAACTTTCCTTCAGGCCACCTTTAAGTTTTTATGACGTCACACTACCTATATTACGTTTGTACGAAGATATTATATGACAGCCTATCGCCTCGATATAAACTGTGTAGCTTATTGTGACCATCTTTGCGCAGAGTTATCTATGCTAATGTTAAAAGTGGAGCAAACCACGATTATGCAGAAGTGAGCCATGGACTAACTATTAGCTGATATGTGACGTTCGCTTTTCTGAGAAGAACCTTATTCAGCAAAAATTACAAGCAACCTTTCAATGTCGACGGGAGCTCTCTTAGTCATCATTCTGTTGAGTAAGTATAAAACATATTTTCCATAATGTTTAGGACACCCCAGTGCTCTTCAAAGCGGTCAATTTATTTATTTTTCTTCTTGTCTAGTAACTGAGTATTTTTAAATTGATTGCTTGGTTTTTGAATCCACTGAATAGCGAGCCAGATGAAAACGACAATTAATAGAGCTATTTTCTTTCTTTTTTCTTTTTTTCACCAGGTCAAGAAGTCAACTTTTTAATGAGGATCGCCGAAAAATGCTGCGAGCTCGTCAGAATTTTTGATTAATTTTTGACATCCTATTGACAGGTTTTTCGACAACTGGGTTTCTGCCTGTTTCTCGAGATTTCTACTTTGTTGTCGCCAAACCACAAAATGTTTAGATATCTTAAATTGGGGAACTGATTAAAAAGTATTGTTAGCTTTTTCTTTTTGGGTATTTTTTCGCTCCCTGACATCGTTTGATAAAATTTTTGGGGGTTCAGCATTTACAGCAAGTTGACTCGAGTGACAAAAAGAACCAAAAAATAAGAGAGGGATTATTCGACTACAAGTTTACTTTCGATCATATCGGCAAATATCAACACACTAATGAATGCGAGGGTATTATATGTTATTATATGTTTAACTTCAATCGTTCGGTGCTCACATGTTTATCTCTCATTGAAATTTAATCGCTCTTCCTCGTTGTTTCAAAGTTCCTGTATGAATACGTGTATGGTTTATATTTATTCTAGGATAAAGGAAACGCTACGCAATTACTTTTCCACATGCAGCTTTACAGCGCGTTCACTTGGTTTTTGTCAAAATTTTCTTCACATAGGTTGTATAAAATAAAATCTTCTACCAGTCGTTGTCCGCAGGAAAACTTTTTTTCAACCTTCGTTTAAATTTGAAAAAACCAAAGGTCGTCAAGTATTCTTTGGCAGTTACCGAGCAGGTGAAAAAGTTTTCTCCATGCAAAAACTTCATTTCTTTATAGCTTAAGAAATAACAAGAAAATTGTTCCGAAACATTGTGTTCATCTTCTTAACTAAACACTGCTTTACAAAAATTTTGATCTTATGTCGTACTGGTTTTGGCATTTTGAATTCTTTCCGGGAAATTAGTGTGAAGGATGGATCGTATCAAGAACTAAGTTTAAATTAACCATTATTTCAAAAACGCTTCATTAAAATTGAAATCCAGTACTGCCAAGCTGCCTTAGATTTTTAGATTTGTTCTGTTTTGACATTTTATCGTCAATAACACCAAAGGAAAAGTAGTAAAATGGAAGCTGACAAGATAGAAATTAGTTTTCTATTCTGAACCAACAAGTTAAGTCATATTTGAAATGTGTGGCTTCATAGCTCAGTTGGTAGAGCATCGCGGAGGTCATGGGTTCGAATCCCGTTGAAGCCCTGATTTTTTTTTTTTTCAGGCTTCTTCTTTCCA